CTCATTTCCTTGCTGGCTGTCAGCAGGAACAGGTCTTTGCTTCTCCAGGCTCCCTGTGTTCCTACTCATGTGTTCTATGTGACCTCCATTCAGCAACAACAGTGTGAGTTTCTCTCTTGCTTCACATCTCTTAGCCTTCTGCTGCATCTTTCCACCTTCTTCTTTTTCTAGTCAGGGAACGTTCTCTGCCTTTAAAGGTTCATGTGATGAAATTGAACCCACTTGGATACTCCAGGATAATCTCCTTATTTTTATGTCTGCACATATTCACATTTCCAGGGATTAGTGTTTGGATGTCTTTGTCAGGGGAGAGTGTTCCACCTACGACAGAGGGTTATTAATGAGTTTCCTCTTCCTGTATGAACCTATCGTAGGTAAAACACTTTGACCTAATTAAATAAGCCTACAATTGATATATTACATGAAAGTCAAACAAATTGGTATAACAGGTCTGACCTATTGTACAGAGAAGAAAATTGAGGCTCACAGAATTTGATTCACACTCTGCATATTTACAGTGTAGAGTGATGAGTCATATAAACAAATACAGGCTTCCCCCCGCCACCAGCATCCTCCCTCTTTCAACATGTGGAGTCTTTAAGCTCTGATGATATTCCATAGAGATTCCTAGGAACCAGTGATATCTATTTTTAACACCAAGGTCAATTTAGTTAAGCAACATGGGCTTATGGCAGGCACTGACTTTTCAGGCTCCCCCTTCACCTGTGGCTTTAAGATATTTAGAGACCCAGAAGATTTCTGTCTATGATAGGCATAAAGATCAAAAAGTAAAGAGAAGTAAAAAAGTCTTTATAGTGCAGGCAGGAAAGTTTGTCACAAATCCTACTAACTGCTTCCCGAGTTTCCTCTTTCTTTAAGAGACAGGTGTGCTATCAACCAAGAAGCTGAATTCTAGAGCATGAGTTCTGGTTTATATAATTCATCTCCTGACCTATTTTACAATATTAGAGGAGTCAGGCAATATGTAGAAAAATGTGACCAATTTAGACAGTATAGCAAAACATGCCATTTGGTCTCATTTATCATAATAGGGATTTAAAAGGATACTCATGAACCATTTAGAACCTATGAGTTAGTTGAGCAGAAAAAGTGGTTTTGCATAAAATCTATCCTTAAATCATTTAGTGCCTTGATGCATCATTAAAAGCATTTTTTTTAACTGCAAGAGTCATAACAATTAACTTCTCAGAAAAACAATTTCACCACTTCTTAAACAGCTTGCAAGGGTCAAGAGGACCACCTTTATTCTAAGTCCTAATCCCTTTGAAACACCTCAGTGCATTTTTCTCCTGTCTGTGTGACAGGGAAATGGAATCTGCTTGGCCACCTCCCACTTCCTTTGTAACAGCCTCCAGCTATAGTGTATTAACAGATTCTAGTACTCTGTCCAGCAGAAGAAAATCCTGCAGCCAATTCTGAGAAAAGAACACTGAAGACAGAGTAAGAACAAAAGTATCAGCTTTGTGCAGTGGGCTGGTCCACACACTTGGACATACTGGAACCAGATCCAGCCCCCTGTTCACAAGCCCTGTGCCCTTTCATGGAAGTATGCAGTGCAAAGTGATTCACATCTCCCACACACTGCCCAGCTGATATCAGAGCAACAGACTGTGTTCTCTTAGTGGTTCATGAAACAATGTTCTTCTGTGAGCGTAGGAGACTGACACCCACAGTGAATGGACTATTCTGAACACAGTCGGCCAGACCTCTCCTAAAAGGCAGAGACCCTACTAATGAAACTTCTCAAACCAATAAAGACAGTGCCAGCATCCTATTTCAGGATCTATGTACTCATATTATGAAACAGGGGTACAGGAGATACTGATGGTACATGAGAATTTTCACTGGAGTACATCATCATAGCTACCAAAATATCACTTTTGCTGACTGTTGTTGCTTATCACAATGTATTAAAATTATCTACATAAATAATAATTGTAATAAGTTAACCTTTATATGTGTTATCTCAGTTGGTCCATATAGAAACCTGAAGAAGGAGACACCATGACTGTCCTATGTTATAGATGAGGAAACTGAGCAGAGATGAGATTACGTCATTACCCCTAGATCACACAGCAGCTGCTAACCCAGGTTTGACTCCAGAGCCTAGCTCTTGAATCCTGTACCAATACTCTGTGCAATGGCCTACCTTACCTGTTGGACAAAAAGCTCCCTGAGGGCATAGGCTGCTTATTACACATCCCTATATTTCCTGATGACTAACATACATCAGCTACTTGGAAAATGATAAATAAATGTCACATTTAGTCCACATCTTGTCCAATACACTCTACTGATACTTGGCTAAAACATATTTTATTTAGGGTCATGGACAAAGACTCATTCACAGCAAAACAGATTAAGGACAGGTAGGTGGAATCTGTTCAAGTGGTATATAACATTCCTTGAATTGGCTATACTACTGGTTACTGGTTACTGGTTACTTGTATACTCCAAGCTATTGGAGACCATGCTGACAAATTCATTTGTCAAAGTTTTTTTGACTCAGTATTATTCTAGTGTATATATCATAAAAGTTAAACAAAAATTTATTTACTTTTATAGTAAAACAGATAAGACTCACATAATCAGTGTCTAATAATTATTACTGTTCTCTTTATTACCCAACCAGGAGATGAATTTTGAAAAAAAAAATCAAATTTAGAAGTATATATAGAAAAAGATCAAATCCCCCCTACAGCCTCTCAGTCGGGTTTCCCTCCCGCAGGTAATTACTGTAGACAGTTGAGTATGTATCTTTCTTTGCATTTGTATACAACTGTTCTCCTAAATAAATGATATTGGGTAAATTGTTCCTAGATCTGATCCACTAAAACTAGATTAAGTAACAAAATAAGAAAGAGGATGGAGGCTCAGCAAAGTTTGCTTCTAGAGTAAGTGGGTAGGTCTTTGGGGTTTATGCTCCCACCCACCATCTTCATCATTTTTTTCCTATCCTATGAGATTCCCCATTTCCTATAAATTTTGGGTATCTCCAAGGTTTGTGTAAGCATCTATTAGGAAATTAAGAGCAGATTCATTCACTAATATCCTCAATCTCTGGAGGACCCTCCATAGTGCTCAGCTGTTGCTTAAGAGTAATTTTGAGACTGAGAGTAATTTTAAGTGAGTATATCCACAAATTCAGAATTGAGACCAGCCCTTATGGACTGCCCTACCTTGGGATCACATGGTACTTGTTTTTTAAACCAAGTAAACCATGGACATATTTTTCTACCTTTTTTTTTTAAAGTTTTTAATTTTAATTCCAATTAGTTAACATACAGTGTTATGTTAGTTTCAGGTGTACAATATAGTGATCAACACTTCCATACATGGTCTTGGACATATTTCCATTCTTCCTAACAATACACTAGTATTTTCTGATAAGATTGTTCCATACTACAGTTAGCTACTTCCCTTTTGTTGAAGGAGATTTAGGCTCTTCCTGTTGTTTTGCTATTGAAAACACAACTGCAATACATTTTCTATAAAGGTAGCTGGACCTAATACAGAAAAAAAGTGTGAAGTGTGTATAAAAATATACCCCAAAGGTAACTGTAGTGGTTTGTGTAGTTGCATTCCCCCAGAAATTCATATGTTGAAACCAGATGAGATCGTGTTAGCAGATGGGGCCTTTGGGAGCTAAATAAGTTTAGATGAAGTCATGAAGGTAGAGCCTCCTGTGATGGTATTGGTGTCCTTATAAGAAAGAAAGACGCTAGAAGTCAAGATGGTGGAGGACTAATAGGCTGAGATGACATCAGGTAGCAGGAGATCAGCTAGATAGTTTATCAAACCATTCCAAACACCTACAAATCCAACAGGAGATCGAAAAGAAGAGCAGCAATTCTAGAAACAGAAAATCGACCACTTTCTGAAAGTTTATCTTAACAATACCTTTCATTCAAAAAAAATCTTTTTGAACCTTCATAATTATAGTCATATTTTATCCTTCATTGTATCTAACTTTATTTTTTGTATACACATAGGGTTTTTTTGTCTAAAAATATTTGGTATACAACTTCTTCTAATAGATCAATATACCCTAAATCTAGCACAGGGCTTTGTTCTAGTCTCCAGGTTGAGCAAATTCTCTCCACTTTCTTTTTCTTTATTCTACCAACCAACTTATCTTATCAACTCCTTTTTTAGAAATTTTTTTAAAAAATTTTCATCTTTATAATCATATTCCATCCCTTCATCATGTTTACCTTTATTGTGTGTGTGTGTGTGTGTGTGTGTGTGTGTTTGTGTGTGTGTAGGTTTTCTATTCTTTTAAATTTTAGTAGGTAGTTTCTTCTAAGAGACCAAAATACCCCCAAAATTAAGTGGGTGACTCTGTTCTATTCACCAGCCTAATATATATATTTTCTTTTTTTATATTTTTTCTTTTTTTTCCTTTTTAAAATTTTTTTCTTTTTTAAATTTTTTTCTCTGAACCTCTTTTGAAACCCCATTCTTCCCGCCGTGATTTGGGGTCTCTTTTGATTTGGTTAAAGCACATTTTCCTGGGGTCTTTGCCACCCTTTTAGTATTTTATTCTCTTCTTCATGTATTCTTTTTTTTTTTTTTTTTCCAGAGTTTAGGACTTTTAATTTGTCCCAAAGTTGCTGAAGCAAAAACCATGATAAAACATTATGCTTTCCTTTACAACCCCCCAACACAAAAAACAAAAACAAAACTATTTGTAGGAAAAAAATGGTTTTGTACATGGGAAGAAACAATATAAATTCAAAACTTACAGATAAGGATTAGCTCTATCACTCATCTCTTTAAAAAGTTTATATGAATATCCAGTCAAAATCAGCAGGGTATCTCCCTTGAAATGTTATCTATACGAATTTCCAAGTAGACCACAGGACTGTACTGTCTTGGAATGTCCTCAGAAGGCTCTGTCATTGATCAGGTAACAGAGTAAAAACCCCAGAGTCCTTTTCTTTCAAACAGAAGAGGGAAAAGCAGAGGGATGGAAGAAACTATTCAAACTTCGTCTTCTTTCCTTGTGGCTTGTGGTCTCCCCCTCCTCCTCTGCTTCCTCAGAAGCCTCCTCGCCCTCCAAAGCCTCCCCAGCCTTTGCCACCAAATCCACCTCAGCCTCCTCTGCCACCACCTCGGCCTCCAAAGCCACCTTCACCCTTAGGCTTGGCCCAGTCCAAAGTAACTTTGTTTCCATCAATTTCACCATCTTCCATGGCCTCCTTGGCAGCTTTGGCATCTTCCTCACTGTTGAAGTCTACAAAACCAAACCCTTTAGAGGACCCAGTCTCCCGGTCAGTGACTATCCTTGCCCGAACAGAGCCATCAAACGACTCCTTTAGTGTTTCTTCTGTGGTATCCTCAGACAGACCTTTGACAAAAAAGTTTTGGAAGGCTGGCTTCTGGCATTGGGTGATCCTCTGGGTCCTTGCAACTCCAGTCTGATTGCTCTGCCCTCAATTTCCCTTTTATTACAGGAATTTAAAGCTTCTTTAGCATCTTCAAATGAAGCAAATTCTATAAATACATACCTTTTAGATTTGCCATTTTGGTTCTGGGGCACTTTAATAAAAGTTGCCTTCTCAAATACTTCCTGAAGGGTTTCTTCTGTTGCACTGTAAGAAAGGTTGCTTAAAACCAGTGTTTTTGATTCACCACTCCAAGTGCTATTCTTTCCACCTCTATAGTCTTGACTTTGACCCTTCTCTCCAGTGTAGTACAGGGAAATAGACCGCCCATCTATCTCTGTTCCCTGCTTTTCTTCCAGTGTTTTTTCTGGATCAGCTTCTGTCTTAAATTCAATGTAAGCAATCCCTTTGCTCTTTCCATCCTTGCTGACTAATCTGATCTCCACAGCATCTTCAAATACTTCTTTTAATTCATCCTGAGTAACTTTGTAAGGCAGATTTTTAGCCAGAAGTGTTCTCACATCTCGATCTTTCTTACTGTCTTTTCCCTTTGGTTTTTCTAGTTTAATTTCATTGCCAAAGACTTTCAAACCAGTGAGCTCCAAAGCTTTTTCCAGGTCTTCTGCAGATTCAAAATCCACATAGCCAGACTTCCTAGACACACCAATTCTGACATCCACAACAGCAAGATCATTATTAGCAAAAAGGTCACTGATGCCTGTTTTTAATTCAGAAGCAGATTTGCTGAAGTTCAGGTTTCCAACAAAAAGATTGAATGATGTAGTTGGTTCTGTAGCTTCTACTTTCTGCTTCTTGGCTTCAGGAGCTGCTTTCTGTTTGGCCATTTCCTTCTTTCGTTTTCCAGGTGCTTCTTTAACAGGGTCTTCATCTTCTTCCTCCTCCTCCTCCTCCTCCTCATCTTCCTCCTCCTCCTCACCCTCATCTTCCTCATCCTCCTCCTCATCATCTTCATCCTCATCATCATCCTCTTCATCTTCGTCCTCAGCTGTGCTCTTGGCCTTCACAGGAACAGCTTTTGCAGGGGCTTTCTTCCCTTTGGCTGGTGTAGTCTTCATAGCTTCTTCTTCAGAGTCATCTTCATCCTCATCTTCATCATCCTCCTCATTGTCTTCATCTTCTTCCTCCTCATCATCATCCTCATCATCGGAGGCAGTGGCAGCAGCAGCTGCATTCATCACCGCTGGCTCAAATTCATCCTCATCTTCATCCTCATCCTCATCTTCCTCGTCCTCCTCTTCACTGTCATCATCTTCTTCCTCATCACTGTCTTCCTTCTTAGCATTCTTACCGTTCTTTGCTCCCTTGGCTGGGGTGGCTGCTCCTTTCTTACCAGGGGTTGCTACCAATGCCTTGCCTGGTGTGGCTCCCTTCTTGCCAGGTGTTGCTACTGCTTTGGCAGGTGCAACGGTCTTTTTGGCTGGTGTAGCCACTGCCTTTTTGCCAGGGGTAACAACTGCTTTCTTGGCTGGTGTGGCAACTGTGACTTTTTTTGTTGGGGAAACCATCACATTCTTTGCTGGAGTGGTGGTAGCCTTCTTGCCTTTTTTCTGAGGAATGATAACCACTTCTCCACTGCTTTCATCATCTTTATCTTCTGACATTTCCTCATCTTCACTGTCTTCTTCTACCTCTTTTGGGGGAGGAGCCATTTTCTTGGGGTCACTTTGATTTTTACCAGCCTTTGCGAGCTTCACCATGATGGCAGCTTATGCTGGCAGGGTGTGTGGCGGGCGAGTGGCGCAGAGGAGCCTAGAGGAACCCAAGCGACGTCGATGGCGGCTGCTGGTACAGAAGATCCCAGAGCACGTACACTTGGCTGCTAGCTAGAGCTCAAGACTCTCCTTCATATATTCTCATCTGAATAAAATGACAAGGCGGAAAAACTTACCACAAAAAAAAAAAAAAAAAAAAAGAACAAGAGGCAGTACCGAATGCTAGGGACCTAATCAGTATGGACATTGGTAATATGTCAGATATAGAATTCAGAATGATGATTCACAAGGTGCTACTGGGCTCAAAAAAGGCATGGAAGATATTAGAGAAACCCTGTCTGGAGAAATAAAAGCCCTTTCTGGAGAAATAAAAGAACTAAAATTTAACCAAGCTGAAATCAAAAAAGCTATTAATGAGGTGCAATAAAAAATGGAGGCTCTTACTGCTAGGATAAATGAGGCAGAAGAGAGAATCAGTGACATAGAAGACCAAATGACAGATGATAAAGAAGCTGAGCAAAAGAGACACAAACAACTATTGGACTACAAGGGGAGAATTCAAGAGATTAGTGATACCATAAGACAAAGCAACATTAGAATAATTGAGATTCCAGAAGAAGAGAGAGGGGAGCAGAAGGTATATTGGAGAGAATTATTGTAGAGAATTTCCCTGATATGGCAAAGGGAACAAGCATCAAAATCCAGGAGGCACAGAGAATCCCCCTCAAAATCAATAAGAATAGGTCCACACCCCATCATCTAATAATAAAACTTAAAAGTCTTAGTGGCAAATAGAAAATCCTGAAAGCAGCCCGGGACAAGAAGTCTGTAACATACAATGGTAAAAATATTAGATTGGCAGCAGACTTATCCACAGAGACCTGGCAGGCCAGAAAGAGCTGTCATGATATAATCAGAGCACTAAACAAGAAAAACATGCAGCCAAGAATACTACATCCAGCTAGGTTGTCACTGAAAATAGAAGGAGAGATAGGAAGTTACAGGAGTGCCTGGGTGGCTCAGTGGGTTAAGCCTCTGCCTTCGGCTCAGGTTGTAATCTCAGGGTCCTGGGATTGAGTCCCACATCGGGCTCTCTGCTAGCAGAGAGCCTGCTTCCCCTCTATCTCTGCCTGCCTCTCTGCCTACTTGTGATTTCTCTCTCTCTGTGTCAAATAAATAAGTAAAATCTTAAAAAAAAAAAAAAAAAAAAAGCTTCCAGGACAAACAAAAACTAAAAGAATTTGTGGACACCAAACTAGCTCTACAGGAAATATTGAAAGGGGTCCTCTAGGCAAAGAGAGAGCCTAAAAGTAGTAAACCAGAAAGGAACAGAGACAATATACAATAATAGTCACTTTACAGGTAGTACAATGGCACTAAATTCATATCTCTCAATAGTTACCCTGAATGTAAATGGGCTAAGTGCCCCAATTAAAAGACACAGGGTATCAGAATGGATAAAAAAACCAAACCCATCAATATGCTGTCTACAAGAAACTCATTTTAGACCCAAAGACCCCTCCAGATTTAAAGTGAAGGGGTGGAAAACAATTTACCATGCTAATGGACATCAAAAGAAAGCTGGGGTGGCAATCCTTGTGTCAGATCAATTGGATTTTAAGCCAAAGACTATAATAAGAGATGAGGAAGGACAACTATATCATACTCAAAGGATCTGTCCAACAAGAAGATCTAACAATTTTAAATATCTATGCCCCTAACATGGGAGCAGCCAACTCTATAAACCAATTAATAACAAAATCAAAGAAACACATCAACAGTAATGCAATAATAGTAGGGAACTTTACCACTCCCCTCACTGAAAGGGACAGATCATCCAAGCAAAAGATCAACAAGGAAATAAAGGCCTTAAGTGACACACTGGACCAGATGGACATCATAGATATATTCGGAACACTCCATCCCAAAGCAACAGAATACACATTCTTCTCTAGTGCACATTGAACATTCTCCAGAATAGATCACATCCTGGGTCATAAATCAGGTCTCAACCAGTATCAAAAGATTGGGATCATTCCCTGCATATTTTCAGACCACAATGCTCTGAAGCTAGAACTCAATCACAAGCAGAAATTTGGAAAGAACCCAAATACATGGAGACTAAAGAGCATCCTTAAAAAGAATGAATGGGTCAACCAGGAAATTAAAGAAGAATTAAAAAAATTCAAGGAAACAAATGATAATGAAAACACAACAGTTCAAAATCTGTGGGACACAGCAAAGGCAGTCCTGAGAGGAAAATATATAGCGATACAAGCCTTTCTTAAGAAACAAGAAAGGTCTCAAATACACAAGCTAACCCCACACCTAAAGGAGCTGGAGAAAGAACAACAAAGAAAGCCTAAACCCAGCAGGAGAGAAATAATAAAGATCAGAGCAGAAATCAATGAAATAGAAACTAAAGAAACAATAGAACAGATCAACGAAATTAGGAGCTGGTTCTTTGAAAGAATTAATAAGATTGATAAACCCCTGGCCAAATTTATCAAAAAGAAAAGAGAAAGGGCCCAAATAAATAAAACCATGAATGAAAGAGGAGAGATCACAACCAACACCAAAGAAATACAAACAATTATAAGAACATATTATGAGCAACTATATACCAGCAAATTTGACAATCTGGAAGAAATGGATGCATTCCTAGAGACATATAAACTACCACAACGAACCAGGAAGAAATAAAAAACCTGAACAGACACATAACCAGTAAGGAGATTGAAGCAGTCATCAAAAATCTCCCAAAAACAAGAGCCCAGGGCCAGATGGCTTCCCAGGGGAATTCTACCAAATATTTAAAGAAGACTTAATTCCTATTCTCCTGAAACTGTTCCAAAAAATAGAAATGGAAAGAAAATTTTCAAACTCATCTTATGAAGCCAGCATTACCTTGATCCCAAAACCAGACAAAGATCCCATCAAAAAAGAGAATTACAGACCAGTATCTTTGATGAACACAGATGCAAAAATTCTCACCAAAATACTAGCCAGTAGGATCCAACAGTACATTAAAAGGATTATTCACCACAACCAAGTAGGATTTATCCCAGGACTGCAAGGTTGGTTCAACATCTGCAAATCAATCAATGTGATACAATACATTAATAAGAGAAAGAACAAGAAGCATATGATACTCTCAATAGATGCTGAAAAAGCATTTAACAAAATACAGCATCCTTTCCTGATCAAAACGCTTCGAAGTGTAGGGAGAGAGTGTTCATACCTCAAGATCATCAAAGCCATCTATGAAAAACCACCATGAATATCATTCTCAATGGAGAAAAACAGAGCTTTTCTGCTAAGGTCTGGAACACGGCAGGGATGTCCATTATCACCACTGCTATTCAACATAGTACTAGAAGTCCTAGCCTCAGCAATCAGACAACAAAAAGAAATTAAAGGCATCCAGATCGGCAAAGAAGAAGTCAAACTATCACTCTTTGCAGATGATATGATACTATTTGTGGAAAACCCAAAAGACTCCACTTCCAAACTGCTAGAACTCATACAGGAATTCAGTAAAGTATAAGGATATAAAATCAATGCACAGAAAATAGTTGCATTTCTTTACACCAACAACAGGACAGAAGAAAGAGAAATTAAAGAGTCAATCCCATTTACAATTGCACCCAAAACCATAAGATACCTAGGAATAAACCTAACCAAAGAGGCAAAGAATCTATACTCAGAAAACTATCAAGTACTCATGAAAGAAATTGAGGAAGACACAAAGAAATGGAAAAATATCCCATGCTCACGGATTGGAAGAACAAATATTGTGAAAATATCTATGCTACCTAAAGCAATCTACATGTTTAGTGCAATCCCTATCAAAATCCCATCCATTTTTTTCAAAGAAATGGAAAAAAATAATCCTAAAATTTATATGGAGTCAGAAAAGACCTCAAATAGCCAGAGGAATATCGAAAAAGAAAGCCAAAGTTGGTGGCATCACAATTCTGGACTTCAAGCTCTATTACAAAGCTGTAATCATCAAGACAGTATGGTACTGGCACAAAACAGACACATGGAACAGAACAGAGAGCCCAGAAATCGACCCTCAACTCTATGGTCAACTAATCTTTGACAAAGCAGGAAAGAATGTCCAATGGAAAAAAGACAGTCTCTTCAAAAAATGGTGTTGGGAAAATTGGACAGCCACATGCAGAAAAATGAATCTACACCACACACGAAAATAGACTCAAAATGGATGAAGGACCTCACTGTGAGAAAGGAATCCATCAAAATCCTTGAGGAGAACACAGGCAGCAACCTCTTCGACCTCAGCCTCAGCAACTTCTTCCTAGGAACATCACCAAAGGCAAGGGAAGCAAGGGCAAAAATGAACTATTAGGACTTCATCAAGATCAAAAGCTTTTGCACAGCAAAGGCAACAGTTAACAAAACCAAAAGACAACTGACAGAATGGGAGAAGATATTTGCAAATGATGTATCAGATAAAGGGCTAGTATCAAAAATCTCTAAAGAACTTATCAGACGCAACCCCCAAAGAACAAATAATCCAATCAAGAAATGGGCAGAGGACATGAACAGACATTTCTGCAAAGAAGACATCCAGATGGCCAAAAAACACATGAGAAAGTGTTCCACATCACTCAACATCAGGGAAATACAAATCAAAACCACAATGAGATACCACCTCACACCAGTCAGAATGGCTAAAATTAACAAGTCAGGAAATGACAGATGCTGGTGAGGATGTGGAGAAAGGGGAACTCTCCTACACTGTTGGTGGGAATACAAGCTGGTGCAGCCACTCTGGAAAACAGCATGGAGGTTCCTCAAAAAGTTGAAAATAGACCCAGCAATTGCACTACTGGGTATTTACCCTAAAGATACAAATGTAGTGATCCAAAGGGGCACGTGCACCTGAATGTTTATAGTAACAATGTCCACAATAGCCAAACTAAGGAAAGAACCTAGATGTCCATCAACAGATGAATGGATAAAGAAGAGGTGGTATATATATACAATGGAATACTATGCAG